AACTCCCAAGATATAACGATATCTTCTTGTGTAAGTAACACTTCAACACACAAGAACAATGAACATGAATTTGATTTATATTCTCCTTAATGCAAAAATGAAGAATATCAGAATTTTATGCAATATATGTGCACAGTTTGATTGAGAGAAAGAAGAGAATATTATGCTATGATTGCATATTATTGGTGTGAAGAAAAGGATGTTCCAAGGGTCCTATTTAGAGAGTATGAGAGGTTGTAGATGAAGTGTTGCGAGCCAAACCTCGCAACCTTACAAACAAAGCAACTCTTGCTATCGCTGACTTCCTCGATCGAGCGTCACTCGAGTAATAGGCGAGCGACAGAGATGACACTTTTCAGTCAGTTTTTCCTCTATTTTCTTTTCAACTTTCAACTAGAATTTCTTATTCATCCGGAATTGGTTTCGAGAATCCAAATATACCACATCGATCTACTTGACGAGAAGAACAAGATGATCTATTTACATTTGTAATTTGATCATCGGATCAAGTCCGCATATTTGTTCAAAGTTGATACCAAGTCACTAGCTCAAAATTATGCTTAACCAAATTTTTGATTTCTTTAAACCAATTCCAACATAAGAACATGGCAATTTCATACCCTTATTCTCAGTATATTTACGATCGATTATTTCAACCCTTCTGTTCAACAAGTTCAAATCTAACATCTACTCCAAGATCACTTTGTCACCTAGTTTCAAAGCTTAAACTCTTATCCAACAATCTTGATTCCTATTCTAAATGATGAACTGTGTTCCCTATCTCCATGTCCATCAGAATATTTTACACTGTCTTTCAAGNNNNAGAATATTTTACACTGTCTTTCAAGTTCTGACCTTTATTCTGCTATCTGTATTGCACAAAATAGGAATGAAGCTGACCATTTTGCAATTCTTGCCTTCAAATCAACCATAAAAAATGAAGCATTCTCTGCCCTCAGCTCCTGGAATTCCACCACCCACTGCTGCCGTTGGCGCGGCGTTTTGTGCGGATGAAAACATCTAAGGGTCATTGCATTAGACCTCAGCCACTAAGGCCTACAAGGCTCCATTTCACTTTATGTAGGTAACTTGAGTTTTCTGAGAGGTCTTTATTTACAAAACAACAGCTTCACTCATACAATTCCACCACAAATTCGCAATCTTCGAAGAGT